GAAGATGACTTTGAGGGATTTGTCAGGGAAGCCCTGACAACTGTAAGTGACAGTAATGGTGATTCACCTGAGGGCCAGTAATCTGCCCTCTGCCTCGGAACCAGCCTCCATCCCCGTACGCCGACCCATCTCTTCTACTAACGTAAGTGTTCCACCTAACTTTTAGTTTTCCTAACCTAACCTTTATTTTTCCTATGTTAACCTTTATTATTCCTAACCTAACCTCTTCTATATTACTTGTTTTTTCACACCATCATAAAGTTACGATAAAATTTTTACAACATAGTTGTGTGTCGTCAAAAAGTGGAGTTTGGGGGTCGGTCCGGACTCTATTTCAATTAATCCCATATGTTATGTTATTCACTTTACGCGTTCCTCACTTTCCGCGGGACCCTGCGGGTTACATTAACCGCGTAAAGTGAGGGTTGACTGTATAAACAACCTATAATTCGCACTAGACATAAAAATTTTAGTACCGTAATCAAATTAGTACATGTGCACTCCAGCTTTGCACTAAAGTCATTTATTTCTTTTACGTTTCTTTTAGTATGGTGTGTGCATGTAAATGGATGAAAGTAAATGAAGAAATTTATGTAAATCTACCCAAAAATACAGTTGAAAACTTTATATTATAAAATGTATTACAGTATTGTACACTAATGTACTACAATTTTTATCTCTTGAGCAAAATATATGACTTTTATATTTAAATTAATCTCTGACTTGCAAGGAATTCAGCAATGCAAATTATATTATCCTAACTTTAGTCTGAGATATTATATAAAATAAACACCTTAAAGCATAAAGAAATCACCAATCTTTTGTCTGGGAACAGAAGGAGGGAGGTAGCCAGCGAGCATGGGAAGAGGGGGGGAGCGGGAGGTGAGGTGACAGTGTCTGGTGTTTGTTTATTTATTTGAGATATGATTTGACAGTTGGCGCTGAAGGCCTGCGTGTTTATTTATCATTACTTAAGAGTGACTAAGCTCTTCTCATAATTTGCCACCCAAATGGCCTGGGTGAATATAACTTACATTGCTGGGATTCTTGTAAGATAGTGATTTATTTGAATACCTGTATAAACAATCTATATTTGCAATAGACATAACAATTTTAGTTCTGTAATCATTTAGTACATGTACAGTACAGGTTTGCACTTAGGTCCATTGTTAACCGAGGGACCACTGTATTGCAGTGTACTTGTACTGTACAATATTGACTAAATTCACTAGATAACGTACACAACTAATGGTTGGTAAAACTTGTCAAGTAAGTGAGTGTCAAGTCTGTCAGTGTGAGTGCTTGTGTCCCCCATCATAGGAGTCCGTTTTCTCTCATTTCAGGAGTGCACCAGAGACTTCGTTATTCCTTAGTAATGACACAGAATTTGAAATTGCAACCCCAAATTGAGGCAACTAGATATGTCTGATTACAGCAAATGTGTTATTATCAATTTGTAGGTGAAAGATTTTATCCTCAATAGATGTAGGTTAACATTACACCTGGAGGCAAATGCTTACTAAAGCCTAAGGAAGGATATTCCTTTAACACATAATATCTGGCCAGTATGGGAAGGATCATCGTGTTTCCGTCAGGGGGTCGTGGAGTGGTGGTCCAGCAAGCGTCACGGAAGCTTTTGGGGGGGGGGGGGCCACAGCACGGACGTATATGCAATGGGACATTGTTCGGTTGGACGCTAAACGGCGCATGACTGCATAAAAAAATGCTGTATGTCGATAAGGGAGAGAACAAGTTTTGGGATATTTAAAGAAGACAAAAATAACAGGACCTAATTTCACATATGACTTTCTTAGGGACAAAATTAACAGTGCATTACCGCATTTTACGGCATATAAGAAACACTTTTTTTTTGTCTGAAAAATGGCTAAAAAATTATCCTGCATCCTATTCTGTATATGAAGTTGCGGCCTCCCATAGGCTAATGAATCCCCCAGTTGCTGTCTCCATTAGGCTAAATTCTACCTAACCCAACTCCAGAATTAAAAATAGGCTATTGCTTACTTAAACATGAATTCTTTTTTTAATTAATTGAAAAAAATATTTAATGTAAAAATAAAAGCTTGATTTATAACTAGTGTACTGTACTGATGATGATAACCCGAGACGAATAACGTCTGTAAAGCAGACACCCAACTCTTCAGAGGTAGCTAAGCAGTAACCATTTCTGAATTCTTACAAGCATTACAATATATTAATGCCGTTTCTGCAACATTTATTTTTAAATTTACAAGTACCTTATACAAATGAAGATTTACAGATAACTTTCTTTCCACATTTGCATCTGTTAACATCACTGGTGGCATTGTAGCCAGGTTAGACTCGTCACTAACCACCAGGCTACTGGGACAAGCTGTGTGGTGTTATGGTTGTTTCTCACCTTGTATATTTGGGTAGATATATAAATGTAACTTTCTTCATTTATTTTTACTCAGTTACATGCACACACCATCCTACATATACACTGTGAAAAAATTAAAAGAAATAATTGTCCTAAGGGCAAACACAAAGGGAATATAGTGTACATTTCTTTGCACACGAGTTAGCTAGCTCAGTGTGGGAGGGGAGGCAGCGAGGTGTGTGTGTGTGTATGGGGGGGAGGAGTACTAGGGGTGGCGGAGGTAGCGTCTGCGTTGCTATGGTGAACGAGGTTGTATATGCAAATGGCGACTGTGTTAATCTTCATTTGGCTCTTATTTACTGGTTTGGCAATACTGTATTTTTTGTTGTAACTTATTTATTGGTATTTTTATTTATTGCTCACATTTACTGGTACTGTATATATTATTTTAAGAAAATTATGGCTGCAGGAGGAAAATCAACACAAAAGATTTTACCTAAATACTCCCTACTAAAATGGGGGTGCGTCTTATATGGCCGTACGTCTTATATACAGTGGTCCCTTGGTTAACGAACACAATTCGTTCCAGAAGGTCGTTCATTAACCGAAAATTTTGTTAACCGAAACCATTGTTTCAATGGGATTTTGGATAATTGGTTCCAGCTCACCGAAAATTACATACAAAGTAAAAAAAAAAAATGCAGTAAGGAACACTTACTTTGAGGTGTGTATGTAGAAGGATCCTGGTTGTTGATGATGATGATGATTAGAAGTGGGGGTGGAGGAGAAGGGAGAAAGAAGAAAGTGGGGGTGGAAGAGAAATCACCCCATGCTTGATGCTGTCATTTCACCCATCAAATGTTAAGTTCACTAGGTGTAATTCAAGATTATTTTCTTAAAATCAACACTGCACTGCACTATATATCGTCAATATGTTAAATACATTTCAGAATGACCAATAATTGTACAGTCGATCCTTGTTAATTCGGACTAATAGGGGGGGAAGGGTGTCCGTTTTAGCCGATTGTCCGAATTAACCGATATAGGGGTTAATAATGCATTATATTTCAAAGTCATTGTCTTCGTCACGATTTTATCCCACTTTCCACTGTAATACGTACGTAATTTCAGCAAAAATATTACATTTCTGTGAATGTATTATATCAAGTACAGTATGAATAGAATACCATTGTAATATAACAGTATTTTAACCAAAAACTATTAAAAAAACAAGTAACTTCTCTTGAACATCGGAAGGTCAGGTAAAATCTTTTGTTTTCGTCATGTATTTTATCCTATTTTACATTAAAATATATCACGTTTCAGCAAAACTACTATTTATTTCCGAGAATATATTCATTCAGGCACAGTTAAGGTAAAATATACATGTGATGTAACAGTTTTTTAACTGAAAACGATTCGAAAAACACGTGTACCGTCTAGCTGATACTCAACAGCTGGTGGTGCGTCATGCATCGTTGTAAACAATAGGAGGTTGAAGTAGATTACCGGGTATTATATTAAGTGTGAAATATCAAAAAGGTTTTTATTACCGGTATTTTTTGTAGATCAATGAGAACTGTGATACCGTATATGATATGATAAGTTAGCCTGTGCTAAGAACTTCAACATAGACTACTGAAAACACGTTGTAAGGTAATTTAGCCTATTGTAAGTTGGTGAGCTTCATTTGCTGAAGGAACTGCACAACTTTTCATTACTAATTGGTACATATTTCACGTTTCCATTGTTTACTGGCAGTAAATGGTAAATATTTTTCATGTCTGAAGCTAAAAGTTGCATCCCCCCCCCCACACTAGTGGTGGAGATGTTACATTTAACCAAAAAGACGCTGGTGTTTTATCCCAGCAGTGGGTGGACCAGCATTTTAGCTTAAGGTCCGCATAGGTAATATTCCTGAAAATCTAAAAAAAAAAAAAAAAAAAAAAAAAAAAAAAAAAAAAAAAAAAGTTCGTTCAGATTTTGTCCGAATTATCCGAAATCCAGATTAAAGGGGTCCGAATTAACGAGGGTCGACTGTACTGTAAAAACACTCTGTGTTCAAGAGACCCACAAGCAAGATGTTTCCTCCACTGAACAGAGATACAAACTGAGGCCTTGGTGGGTGAGTGAGTGAAGTGGCTGATGGGCGCACCAAAAACTAGTTCCCTGTACTTCAATTATGTTAAATAGGTGTTAAAATGACTAAAAATTTTAATATTAAACTTGGAAAATTATTGAATAGTACAACCTTCTTGATATTTACTCCAATTTTAACGAATGTAAGCCCTAACACCGATTTCTATATTGGCGGAATAATCTTCCAGCTGGTGAGCAAGCCAAAGCATGTCAAAACATTTTCGCAAGAATTTCGTTAACCAAATTTTTTTTTCATTAACCGAAATGAAAATTCTTATGGAAGGTAATTCGTTAATCGAAATTTCGTTAACCGAGGCGTTCGTTAACCAAGGGACCACTGTATTGTAAAATACGGTAATATAAAACAGAATTGCAGCCACAGAATTGGCTATACAGGGGGTATTTGTCTTTTTTTTTTCAAACAGAGGAGAGACTACATAAGAATTAATTGTATCAGAACATGCATGTGGCTTTACAATTTTCTATTTTTTTTTTATCTCACCCTGTCAAGGAAGATGGGGTTGCTCTCATAACCACCCACAGAGAGAGCATCCCCTTGCAGCCTTAGGTAGACTGAGGCGTTGTGGTCTCGTACATTGGGCATGTTCTCTATACCCGGGATCTTCTCTGTTACTATATATGCATGTTTCATGGCTACTAATGGCACTTCCACACCCACCAAGCCTGTGATGTCATTTGCCCAACAACCTGAGGAGAGATCTGGTGTCAGACAATACAAGAATACACCAACACAGGAAAGACTCAAGATTATTGCAGTAGTAAGATGGAAACCAATTGAGCAACATTAAAATTTCTAATTCTATGTCTAATTGATCCTTTCACCACTTAACAGCGAACTAGCCACTTCTTGTTGTTATAATGTTATTACTGCGCTTCAACAACGAGGGTTTTTAAGCGTGTAACAAGGTCAGTAATACACAAGTCCTACAACAATAAAAATTTTGTGAGAACTCTGTATAAATATGATATTACTACCTTGCATCATAGCAGTTTGTCAATTTTACACCTGGCTAACACTGCACGGACTGGACCTTTCACTGCAGGCTCTCTAATAGCCCGAGGGATGTTCCCACAACCTCTGTATTCCTCTCATTTTTCCTCTAAATTATTAAGAATTCAAAACTTACGCAAGAGCAAACTGAAAAGATTTGTATAGAAAAAAATCATCTTCATATAACATTGCAAGTACTGTACTGTATTAGTGTAATGCAGTACAGTATACTGTACACAATTCGTTCCAGCAAGCTCTCCACACACTTATGTAATAATTTAGTGGGTCATAAAAATATATATATATATATATATATATATATATATATATATATATATATATATATATATATATATATATATATATATATATATATATATATATATATATATATATATATATATATATATATATATATATATATATATACCGTATACAATATATAAAATTTGGAAACATCTTTCTGTGCTATGTTAGACTACAAGAAGGCAACCCATTTTTCATAATATTATACAGAACAGTACTATGGTACTTTACAGTAAAACAAAAAATAAAAAACTGGATACAATAATTTTGGTGGTCTTGTAATATTTAAAAGGATATGGCATACCTGTTGCATTGATAACTGCATTAGTCTTGATGACTCCAAATGGGGTGTGTACCTCGCTCACCTTCCTGCCACCCAGAATGGTCTCCACTGTGCGTATGTCAGTAACTGGGCAGTTCTCTGCAACACATGCCCCTGCACGTGTTGCCCACCTTGTTAAGGCATTGCAGATGCCTGCAGGGTCCATTGTTCCTATAAAACAATTCAGGTTATCCTTACTGATTTATATTATTTATAACCTCACACATTGTCTGTTATTTATAATACTCACAAATGTCTCATTAATAATCCTCACAAATGTCTGTTATTTATAATGCTCACAGTTGTCTGTTATTTTATAACCCTCACAAATGTCTGTTATTTATAATCCTCACAAATGTCTGTTATTTATAATCCTTACAAATGTCTGTCATTAATAATCCTCACAAATGTCTGTTATTTATAATGCTCACAGTTGTCTGTTATTTTATAACCCTCACAAATGTCTGTTATTTATAATGCTCACAGTTGTCTGTTATTTATAATCCTCACAAATGTCTGTCATTAATAATCCTCACAAATGTCTGTTATTTATAATGCTCACAGTTGTCTGTTATTTATAATGCTCACAGTTGTCTGTTATTTTATAACCCTCACAGTTGTCTGTTATTTATAACCCTCACAAATGTCTGTTATTTATAATGCTCACAGTTGTCTGTTATTTATAATCCTCACAAATGTCTGTCATTAATAATCCTCACAAATGTCTGTTATTTATAATGCTCACAGTTGTCTGTTATTTTATAACCCTCACAGTTGTCTGTTATTTATAACCCTCACAAATGTCTGTTATTTATAATGCTCACAGTTGTCTGTTATTTATAATCCTCACAAATGTCTGTTATTTATAATCCTCACAGTTGTCTGTTATTTATAATCCTCACAAATGTCTGTTATTTATAATCTTCACAGTTGTCTGTTATTTATAATGCTCACAGTTGTCTGTTATTTATAACCCTCACAAATGTCTGTTATTTATAATGCTCACAGTTGTCTGTTATTTATAATCCTCACAAATGTCTGTTATTTATAATCCTCACAAATGTCTGTTATTTATAATCCTCACAAATGTCTGTTATTTTATAATCCTCACAAAATGTCTTGTTATTTATAATGCTCACAGTTGTCTGTTATTTTATAACCCTCACAAATGTCTGTTATTTATAATGCTCACAGTTGTCTGTTATTTATAATCCTCACAAATGTCTGTCATTAATAATCCTCACAAATGTCTGTTATTTATAATGCTCACAGTTGTCTGTTATTTATAATGCTCACAGTTGTCTGTTATTTTATAACCCTCACAGTTGTCTGTTATTTATAACCCTCACAAATGTCTGTTATTTATAATGCTCACAGTTGTCTGTTATTTATAATCCTCACAAATGTCTGTCATTAATAATCCTCACAAATGTCTGTTATTTATAATGCTCACAGTTGTCTGTTATTTTATAACCCTCACAGTTGTCTGTTATTTATAATGCTCACAGTTGTCTGTTATTTATAATCCTCACAAATGTCTGTTATTTATAATGCTCACAGTTGTCTGTTATTTATAATCCTCACAAATGTCTGTTATTTATAATCCTCACAGTTGTCTGTTATTTATAATCCTCACAAATGTCTGTTATTTATAATCTTCACAGTTGTCTGTTATTTATAATCCTCACAGTTGTCTGTTATTTATAATCCTCACAAATGTCTGTTATTTATAATCTTCACAGTTGTCTGTTATTTATAATGCTCACAGTTGTCTGTTATTTATAACCCTCACAAATGTCTGTTATTTATAATGCTCACAGTTGTCTGTTATTTATAATCCTCACAAATGTCTGTTATTTATAATCCTCACAAATGTCTGTTATTTATAATCCTCACAAATGTCTGTTATTTTATAATCCTCACAAAATGTCTTGTTATTTATAATGCTAACAGTTGTCTGTTATTTATAATCCTCACAAATGTCTGTTATTTTATAATCCTCACAAATGTCTGTTATTTATAATCCTCACAAATGTCTGTTATTTATAATCCTCACAAATGTCTGTTATTTTATAATCCTCACAAATGTCTGTTATTTATAATGCTCACAGTTGTCTGTTATTTATAATCCTCACAAATGTCTGTTATTTATAATGCTCACAGTTGTCTGTTATTTATAATCCTCACAAATGTCTGTTATTTATAATCCTCACAAATGTCTGTTATTTTATAATCCTCACAAATGTCTGTTATTTATAATGCTCACAGTTGTCTGTTATTTATAATCCTCACAGTTGTCTGTTATTTATAATCCTCACAAATGTCTGTTATTTATAATCCTCACAGTTGTCTGTTATTTATAATCCTCACAATTGTCTATTATTTTATAATCCTCACAAATGTCTGTTATTTACAATCCTCACAGTTGTCTGTTATTTATAATCTTCACAAATGTCTGTTATTTACAATCCTCACAGTTGTCTGTTATTTATAATCCTCACAAATGTCTGTTATTTACAATCCTCACAGTTGTCTGTTATTTATAATCCTCACAGTTGTCTGTTATTTATAATCCTCACAGTTGTCTGTATTTATAATCGTCACAAATGTCTGTTATTTATAATCCTCACAGTTGTCTGTTATTTTATAATCCTCACAAATGTCTGTTATTTTATAATCTTCACAGTTGTCTGTTATTTTATAATCCTCACAGTTGTCTGTTATTTATAATCCTCACAATTGTCTATTATTTTATAATCCTCACAAATGTCTGTTATTTACAATCCTCACAGTTGTCTGTTATTTTATAATCCTCACAAATGTCTGTTATTTACAATCCTCACAGTTGTCTGTTATTTTATAATCCTCACAAATGTCTGTTATTTACAATCCTCACAGTTGTCTGTTATTTACAATCCTCACAGTTGTCTGTTATTTTATAATCCTCACAAATGTCTGTTATTTACAATCCTCACAGTTGTCTGTTATTTACAATCCTCACAGTTGTCTGTTATTTACAATCCTCACAGTTGTCTGTTATTTACAATCTTCACAGTTGTCTGTTATTTACAATCCTCACAGTTGTCTGTTATTTACAATCCTCACAAATGTCTGTTATTTACAATCCTCACAGTTGTCTGTTATTTACAATCCTCACAATTGTCTGTTATTTACAATCCTCACAGTTGTCTGTTATTTTATAATCCTCACAGTTGTCTGTTATTTATAATCCTCACAAATGTCTGTTATTTATAATCCTCACAAATGTCTGTTATTTTATAATCCTCACAAATGTCTGTTATTTAAAATCCTCACAGTTGTCTGTTATTTTTAATCCTCACAAATGTCTGTTATTTATAATCCTCACAAATGTCTGTTATTTTATAATCCTCACAAATGTCTGTTATTTACAATCCTCACAGTTGTCTGTTATTTACAATCCTCACAATTGTCTGTTATTTACAATCCTCACAGTTGTCTGTTATTTTATAATCCTCACAGTTGTCTGTTATTTATAATCCTCACAAATGTCTGTTATTTATAATCCTCACAAATGTCTGTTATTTTATAATCCTCACAAATGTCTGTTATTTAAAATCCTCACAGTTGTCTGTTATTTTTAATCCTCACAAATGTCTGTTATTTATAATCCTCACAAATGTCTGTTATTTTATAATCCTCACAAATGTCTGTTATTTACAATCCTCACAGTTGTCTGTTATTTACAATCCTCACAATTGTCTGTTATTTACAATCCTCACAGTTGTCTGTTATTTTATAATCCTCACAGTTGTCTGTTTTTATAATCCTCACAAATGTCTGTTATTTATAATCTTCACAGTTGTCTACAGTCAACCCTCGCTTTACGCGGTCCCACATTCCGCATTTCCACGTTTACGCGGTATGCGCTGCCGAAACCGGAATGCTCACATTCCGTGGTGCGTGTACCCCTTTACGCGGAAAGTGTCTGGCTCGACGCTATTTTTAGATTCGCCCCTCCCGCTTGCTCCCCTGCCTCCGCCTGGGCAAGCCGCGCGGTAAGGTTGCGCAGTGCATGTCTCTGTTGCGTTATCAGTGACGTCATATGACGTATCGGACTGTGATTGGCCATGCATCCCTACCTCCCTCCGCTGCTAGCTGTAATTGGTTTAAAGTAATATGACGTGTCCACCCGGGGGAGGGAGGGAGGGAGGGAGGGAGGGAGGGAGGGAGGGAGGAAAGACGACGCTTGACCTAGCCGCGGCAGTTTCATCCCTCCAGGCCACACCGTGCAATCGTGCATCCATTGTTCTGTAAAATAGCTTCCGCCGGACCACCGCCCCCAGAGAGAAACCTTTCCTCACAAATAATCCTAAGCCGCCCTAAGCCAAAGAAGACACGACGTTCCTTAAGCTACGAGGTGAAGTACAAGATTATCCAAGAGTTGGAGAAAGGAACAAGATAGGTTGATTTGGTGCGCCAGCATGGTGTGAACGAATCTACGATCCGAACGATAAAGAAGGATGCAGCTAAGATAAAGGAGCACATGAACATCACAAAGTCTACAGGTGCTTCTATGATCAAGTATTTCCACAACCAGGTGCTTCTCAAGACGGAAAAATTACTTGTGAGCTACTTGGTGCGTCAGGCGCGACGGAACATGGCGGTGGACACGCGCTCTGTTAAGGAGTACTCACTTGAACTGTATGCTGCAGTGTCACGAAAGATGGGAATTACAGAGCCCAAACCCTTTAATGCTTCCTCTGAGTGGTTACAGAGGTTTAAGAAGAGGAACAAGATCACCAATATCAACATTGGTGTTGAAGAAGCTAGTGCTGACCGTGTTGCGGCTAGGGAATTTCCTCCGTTTTTACGTGAGATTATGGAGGAAGGACAGTACACCGACGACCAGGTGTTTAACATGGACGAATCTGGTCTTTTTTGGAAAAAGCTACCTTTCAAGACCTTCGTTGTGAAGAATGCCAGCAAGATTCGGGGCCAGAAGTTGCAGAAGGAGCGCATCACCGTCCTGTTTACCACCAATGCCTCCGGTACCTGTAAGCTCAAGTTATCGGTGATCCACACAGCACGCAAGCTGCACGCCTACAAGAGCATGGACATGACCAAGCTAAATGTCCACTGGCTGACCGCATGTAAGGCGTGGATGATCTCTACACTGTCCCTCTCCTGGT